TTCATACAGAACTGGGGTACAGGCCAGAGATGCAGAGGGTGAGAGGATTCACCAGAGACAGAGCGGGAAGCAGAACAGGCAGATCGACGAAGTACACTGCTGAGGGGAGCAGCGGGTAGGTCAGGAGAGATCTGCCACGCCACGTGGTCACCTCCGGGGCAGGCGGGGATCGAACTCATGCGGAAGTGGCTTTAGCTTCTTAGTGCTGTGCTTTAACCTGCTGCGCCACCAGGGAGGGCCGATACTTGCATTTTTAAGAGAGGACAGCAGTGTGATGAATCTCTAACTAGAGTTTCTCAATTTTTGCCCGTTACCATTTCCTAGTGGGGGCACTATTTGCATTTTCGGTAGAAAAATCTATGGGTGACTAGTTCTTGAAAGTTCTGCAGACTGCTGGAGGTTTAGCATCCCTGGATTTGAACTATTAAGTACCAGTAGTATCCCTGGCCTTGTGATGACCAAAGTGCCCCTTGCACCTCTTACCCTCTAGGGCTGGACGTGAGAATCCTTTGAGAATCCCTGCTCCCAAACCAACCCGCCTGGCAGGCTGCATCCTCCCTCTAATGTACTTCTGGGCTTTTCTACGTGTCTTTGACTCACTCCTTTTAAAAGAAGAGACAAAAGGGCACACAATCAACTACTATCTTTTTTCTCAATTCCTTTTTGACTAACTCAACCAAAATCTTTTTTTAAAATAATGTAATAGTTTATTTTTACACAATTTTGTGTCTTTTTCCATCTCAGTTGTAATGCCCATAGGATTCCCATCACCAAATCACCCATGTGCCATCATAATCCCCCCACTGTTTTTGATAACATTCCCCACTCCACCCCCATAAAATGTATCTGGTATATATTTGTTCATTATTATTACTATTTTCTCCCCTGGTCATTTATACTCCTGCTATGAGTGAAACCATATAGTATTTTTCCTTTTCTTTCTAGCTTATTTCACTAAGCATGATCTTTTCCAGCTCCATCCATGTTGCTGCAAAAGGCATGTGTTTATTTTTTTTTTGATTGCTGTAACTCAACTAAAATTTATCTTAACACTTTCTTAATAATTTGAGCATCTTTCTATAAACAATCACTTGTCAATTAGACTTTCACAGCTTCCCTTTGTATCAAGATGGCTGCAGACTCAAGTTCCTACATGTTGTTCTGCCTTACATTCTGTCTTAGCTCTTTCAGTTCTTCCAAGAAGCCATGTGCAACTCTACTTCAGCCTTTTTAAAAAAAAAAAATATTTATTTATATATACAGAACTGGAGCTGCAGAGGTGATGGAGTTGCAGGGGTGAGACGATTCATCAGAGATGGGGGTGGGGCAGACAGACAGATCTATTGAAACACTCTGTTGAGGAAAACAGTGGGTGAGACAGAAGACAGGAGAGCTGTGCCATGTGGGTCACCTCCCTGGTGGGGGATTGAAATCGTGCTGCAGCAGCTGCGGACAGCCTCACAGCACTGTATCTTAACCCCTTGAGCCACCAGGGAAGCCCCTCAACCTGTTTTTCTTAAAAGATGAGTTGGAACAGACCAAAACAACCTGGAACAAGCCCCAAATGAACTGAGTGCCTGGAACAGATTATACTTGAGGAAGTGGTCATCTCTGCAAAATTCTCCTAGGATATGTAGACTTTTCAGAAATGTTTGTTTGAAGAAAAGAGGAAGAAATAAAAATCTTAAGTCTGTGGCATGCTACATCTTCACTAGGTTGGAGAAATGAAAACCTAGAGATTTGAAATCCTGGACTGGATAGGCAAATTTCAGTAAAACATAAAAATTAGACACACATTGCTCTTAACCTGGAGCATAGTGACTTAGAGATACTATATCAGTTTTGTTAATAAGACTATGGATTTCATGATAGGTGTTAAACATATGAGTCAAAACTCAACTGAGGTGAATTTTACTTTTAAAGGTTTATTTATTAAGATCCATCTTAATAATCATGAGAGAACCAAACAACAGATGTCAGGTGTCATAGTTGACATATTTAACTATTTAGCTTGGGGCTCCATTAATTAAACCTAAAATCAATGTGGTTTTAAGCAAAAGCTTTGTTCTATGAATGGTTCCAAATACTGCAGAGAATCTCCTTGAGCACATTACAAACATGAAGGTGGCATCAGATCTGAGGCTTAAACTGAAGCATTATAAATACTCACTTCACAGCTGGATTGCATATAGATATTAGCAGTGAAGGGACTCACTGCATTCTTTCCTTCAGTAGTGAACTTAAAGTCCCTATTCCACTTGTGTGGAATACGACTAGGAAGATGACTTTTCAGCATCTCCTTCCTTTTCAATGACAGAGGGAAATTAAAGCCAACCTCTCAGAGTCCCTTGCAGCTAAGGTTCTGAATGTAATTTAGTTCAACCAATTTAGCATGTATATGACCTGTGACAGAAATGAAGCAGAACTATATATGTTTCTTCTTGCTGGCAAGCATAGATATGGATGTGGTTGGGGTTTTGTGGCATCTTATGGTTCTCGCAGTGTCCCTGCTGGATTTACAGGTTCCAAGATGGAGGTGCTGGTACATTTAGGTGCTGGTATCTTTGCATCCTTGCAAACGTGTGCATGGTTGTGGAGGTGGTAGCAAAAGTAGCATCCTGACCATGGTAATGTGTGTAGAGTGTGGCAGTGGCAGTGTGTTCGTAAGTGTTTGAGTTCTGCTGTGTAGCTCTGAAGTCATTATTGACAGTTCAAATTGAAATGTCTGTTTCCTCAATTCTTCCTATCCATGCAATCAGTCTAATGTCCTGAAGTAAATCTCTCCTTACTTTAACAAGCTAGAGTGAATTCTATTATCTGCAACTGAACTCTGAACCCAATCTACAACTTATATTTCCTTCTATAAAAAAAAAAAAAAACAGAAGTAGGGGCCCCTCCCAGGTGGCGCAGTTGGGTTAAAGCACAGCACTAAGCAGCTAAAGCCACTTCAGTATGAGTTTGATCCCTGCCCGCCCTGGAGGTGACCCACATGGCGGAGGTGACCCACATGGCGCGGCAGACCTCCCCTGACCTGCCCACTGCTCCCCTCAGCTGTGTGCTTCTTATATCTGCCTGTTCTATTCCCCACTCTGGCTCTTGTGAATCCTCTCACTGCCCCTGCATCTCTAGCCTGTACCCCTGTTCTGTATGCATAAATAACTACATCTTAAAAAAAAACACAAGTAATTTCTGAAGAATTACTTCTGTTTATTAAAGACTGCATTTTCAGCTTAAAACACATTGGGTCAAATGCTGATTAGTCCACTGTCTGACCAAAAATAAACATACTCAAAATTATATCCCAAATGTATTGTAGAAAATAAAACAGTCCACAAATTCTGCTCTGGTTCAGTTATAGTCACGTTTTAAAGTGGCTATTTTATTGCCCAATAAAGTAAAATTATCAAATTGCTAAAGTTAAAAAAAAGCCTAAATTATTGACCTATTTCTTTGTAAATGAACTGGTATGTTTGTTACACCACTTAAAAATAAAGGTAATTTCTTTTTTATATGGAAGGAATTTAATATTTATCCCTCCAAGTGAATCAGGTGCTATGTTATTTTCTTAGCCAAAAGTTATCACTAGTAAAGGAAATTGTTGCTTTGTTATTCTGGAGGCCAAAGTCAAAACCCAAAATATGTCTTGGGAAAGGTTCCCTAACAAACCTGAACTGAAAATAAGTTCAATGACTTGGGCAAAACGAAATGGATGTTTTAAACATGAAATTGAACTGGTGTGCCAAAGGTCCTAACTACAGTGAACCTAACTATTGTGAAGGTTCACTGAAATCCCTCTATTGGCATAGTCAAGCTTTATATGTATGTATATATATTTTCTCTCTCCAATGGCAATTCTGGGATAGAGAAAAGATAGTCTTTTTGGAACTTATAACTTCTAATGTAGGAAATATACATAAACTTAAAATTTTAAATTTTAACTACTACGTAAGAAAACAGAGTATGACTTTGTAACTAATCTCTCTGAACAAACTTAACATTTTCTGGAAGGTGAGTCCACACATGTATATGTAGGTTAACTTTATCCAGACCAATTTAGCAAACCTCCCCCCACCCCAAGAAGTCAGGTACATTTCTGAATTATGCGCAATTCCTTTAACAGACAGGAAACAAATTCATTATAAAATCCTACTTAAGGACAGAAACCAAACATAACAAATGGAACTCTACAGCCTAAGCACTGCTTTCCAGAGGCAGAAGCCCCTTTCTTTAACAAAACCTCTAAAACCCCATGCGACTTAGTTCTACACTGCTTTGGGGGTTGGGGTGGGGGAACTTAAAGCTATTACATATGTTCATGATCTTTAACATTAGAATATTGTGTTGAAACACCCTCTTTGTGAACTGTACATTAGAAATACTTTAATATTGACAATCTTAACAGCAGGAATGTCTTTAGCAAAAAATTAAACGTAGTAAAAATAAAATACATTAAAAACACAATCAGCTTTAGGCACCTCTCCCTCCCCCTTTTGGCAAAGTTACAATGCAGGTAATTCCCTGGCTTCCCTGATCCGGACGTGCACGGTGGCTGCAGCGTCCCCATAACCGCGGACAACTCTAGCAAACTTGGAATAAGGCGCGGCTGCTAACTCCCCACAGCCTCCATGTTTCGCGTCCCAGAAGCTGCCAAACAAAGCCCCCGATCTCCGACAAGGAACCCCCGATCTCACCCTTTGGCCCCATTACACCCTCAGGCTCATAACACCCACAGGTCGCGGACAGAAAAAGGCGCTAGGGCTCCTGGGTGCGGCGCCCAGGAAAAGAAAACTTCCACAGGTTCCAACGCGTCCGGCTCCCGCCAGCGGAGATTTTCCGAAGCCGCAGGGTCCGAGTTCGCCGAGGCCTGCCCAGCCCTTTCCCACCTCCCGGCTCCAGACTGGAGCGCCGGGCGGGCGGCTGCCTCCCGGGCGAGGCGGGCAGGTCGGGCGCGGGCCGGTGTCCCCGCCTGCCCGGCCGCGCGTCTGGGCTCCCGCACTTACCAGGACCAGCAGCAGCGCAAACTCCGCGCCCCGCGCCATCGCCCTCGCCTCCGGCCGCTCGCGGCTCTCCGCACCCGCGGCTTCCCCGGCCCCCTGCGGAGGCGCCCTAGCTTCTCCCCGGAGCCGCCGCCCCCGTCCTCGCCCGAGGGCAAGTCCCGGGCGCTGCCGGTGGCCGGGCCCCTAGGTGCGGCTCCAGGTGTGGCAGCCGTGAGAAACGGAGCCCCGGGCCCGCTCTGCTGCTCGCCGGGCTGGGGGTTCGGTGGAGGTGGGAGGCGCAGCGTGGACTCCCGCCCCCAGTCGCACACGCACCTGGGCCGTGACGTCCCGGGGTTGGGGACATTCGGTGGCAGGCCCCGCCCCGCCGTTCTCACCTCCTCCCTGAAAGTGGCGGAGGTTAGCTCCCTGGCCTCCAGGCAGCACCGGGTCTGGCCCTGCAGGTGCCAGGGCCCCACTGGGCCCCGACCAGAGGGCCCTTCGCGGTCTCTCGAGTGGATCTGCGGGGTCCCTCGTGCGACCCCGGAGCGGCAGGGCCGGCCACCCGAGGTCATCGGAAGGTGACTGTGTCTTTGGGCCAGAGCGGGTGGTTGGGGGCGAGAAAGGGGGTGGGGTGGGCGAAGGACATGGGGACACTGCAGCCGGGGTACAGGAGCAAAGGATCAGGACTTCAGGTGGCTGTCTCTGCGCAGGCTTCTAGCCTCTTGTTCATTGCTTCCCCAAAGTTTGCAGGGTGCAAGGTCACTCCTTGTTAACTAGACTGGAACTAGAGGAAATTCTAGATGTGTAAGGGAAATACATACTGATCAGAGTCTCAGCCTAGTCGTCATAAGCCATGGGACTGGACCATCTCTGGGTGCTTCCATTTTCAGATCCATCAACTAGGTCAACTAATATCCAAACAGATAAAACTGATGTGACTATTTAATAATAACAACAACAATAATAAATACTATGTGAAGCATCTAGCTGTTTAGCTCATAGGGTCCAAGCAGCTGGCAGTTGTTACAACTATCATTAGCATTTGTATGAATAAATATTAACTCCAACTCTTTGAAAAACAGAAACTTAGTATGGGTGTCCCAACACCAGTTTGGGATATTTCCATAAAAGGTTAGCTATTGCTGGAGTAGTGGACGAATGTTGATTTGCTCCTAGAAAGAGAAGACTGGCATTAAGTTTGGCCAAAATAGCAAAATGGTAACTGCCTTCCTCTCCTTCCCCTCCCCGCTTCATCTCCTACTCTTCTCCCCTCCCCCAATTGTAATTTTCCCAGTTTCCCCAGCTAATAACCATCTCTCGTTGTCCCCCTTTCCCAACTGCCAAAGACCACCCCCTTTGGAGTGGACAGAAGCATGTTCCCTTGTTTTATGGCTCAATTGCTGAGTGAACTTTTTTCATTTTGTTTAGTGGCAGTGCTGAAGTTGGTTGAAAACTGAGTATTCAGAAGAGTGTCTGCTTTGTGCTGAGTACAATAAGTGACAAGTGTTTATAGCTTGTAAACATTGGTTACATATTAAACAAGGAGGGAAGTATGTCTTCTAGTTTCTCCTCCTTTCTCTTGAGCCAGATGTGGATGTTGGCACATATGGTGGTAATTCTAATTCCCCAGGGGTAGGGGCTTTTGAAAAAAGATTCTCATTCCCCATCAGGCTGGGAAAACTCCTAATTAACCAGGGCAGGATCTACCAAAACACCTACCAAATTATTCCTGCAAACTATATCTAAGTCTTACTTAAAATTAGGGCTCTTGTAGTTGAGTCCTATAGGCAACTATTTATGCCTCATTATCCAGACTTGGGTCTCTGTTTAGCAATGAAGATAATTATAGCTTCCTGAATGAGAAATAGGTAATGCAAATTTTATTTCTGTTAAATTATTCAGTCTCTGCTGAAGACTGACAAAATCAGTTTCAGTGTAGTATTTCTATGTAAGTCATTAATTCAAGACTTTGAAAGAAGGTGTTATAATCCCCTCCCTAATGTCATAGTATTTCATTCTTGAGTTTGTCCCACTTTAAAAATTCTTAAACTTATGACACAGGTACTTCTCTAGAAACTTCTACCTTCTCTTTTTTTCTGGGATGAAAGTAAATCTATTTGCACAGAAACAAAGGTGCTCATTGCCAAAGAAGCACAGATTGCTTTAAAAAGAATTATGTATTAACAGGATGTGAAGGAGTCTGCTTACAGGTTTATCCCATTAAGTTAGGTGAACATTATTGTTAGTGTGCTTTTCTTAAAATGTGCATTTATATATGTAAGTACAAAATATGCTTTGCACAGATAATTAACTTTAACATCTATGGATATGTCCAAAATGTCTACCTAAGCTATATTTTCTGTAATACTTTGCCTCACACTTATGTATAGGTGAGTATAGGTATCAGTGATTAGCTTATCAGAATTATCTCTTACCATTATCTGCAACAAGTATTTGATTTAAAAATGTTTTATAAAGCTCAATAAAAAGTAACGTGTCCCTTTTCTACCATCACTGTCTCCTAACTTCCAACATTTCCCAGCATTAAAGATCACTTTATAAAGCTCTTGGCTAATGGCTTGACAGATGGCTGACCATTTCAGCCATCTCATTTCAGTGAAAATTTCAGTGAAAATCCCAATGCCTATATGAACAGGAACTTATTGTTGAAGAGATGAGAGCTCTGGATGTTAGCACACATAATGATAATTCTCATTCCCCAAGGTTGGGGTTGGGAAAAAAAGTTCTCAGCATACTGACAAAAATGTTTCCCTCTTCTCTCTATACCTCTCCAGCTTCTTGCTATCCTATGTAACACCTTAAAAGCTCAATGCTTTTGTCTTCTGAACTATTTCCTCCTTAAAAAGCATGGTTCAATATCCACTCACACTGTGCAAACAGATCACAGCTTTCTTACATAAGAAATATGGGGTATTGGCCCTCCCTGGTGGCGCAGCGGGTTAAAGCACTGCACTGAGACTCTAAAGCCACTTCCACATGAGTTCGATTCCCGCCTGCCCCAGAGGTGACCACATGGCGTGGCAGACCTCTCCTGACCCGCCCGCTGCTCCCCTCAACAGTGTACTTCGTCAATCTGCCTGTTCTGCTCCCCACTCTGTCTCTGGTGAAGCCTCTCATTGCCCCTGAGCCTCTGGCCTGTACTCCAGTTCTATATGTACAAATAAATAAATAAAAAAAAAATAAAAAGAAATATGGGGTATTACATTTGTGTATTTCACAGGAACCTCAAACTGCCATAATAATTTTGTAGGATCAGCATATCGACAAAAAAGTTTCCTCCATCCCTTTACACCTCTACAGCTCAAGCTTGCTACTTCCTTAGATGACTAACTCATAGGCCTGTCAACTTGACTACTTAAGGCAGGAACCTAAGAGCCAGGCTCACTTCTCCTTTTTCCATACTCTCCACATCCAATTGTTGACCTTTCCCCTTTTCTCTGCGGCTCTGTTAAAAAATGAGTCACATAACCTGCAGAGCAGCAACCGCTTTTGGTTTATGGTTATTTTATCCCTATCTGCTGCTCCACCCATCCCTGTTTCTTAAGATTGTTAGTTCCTACAACTAGTAAGCCCAGCCCCTCATAGTCACTACCTACTAAATGATCAAAAAGGATTTGTTGAGCCAAGCTCACTTACGAAAGGAATAATATAAATAAAATGTAGTATTGCAGTAGGTTACTGGACTGTCCAATATGACTAGGCTAATATGGGCCTGGTTAGAAAACAGTCTGGGAGTGTGTGTTGGTTTGTATATGCATGTTTTCCCATACCACACTGCAGCCCAGGGACAGGAGAAGACTAGGAGTGGGGTATGAGTCAGGCTTGAGAAGAACTTGACTGGTAGTGAAGAGATGTAAGAATATTCATGCAGTTGAGTGTGACAGGGAGGGAATGGACAAATGAAGCTGTAAGACCTCAGGACCCTATGGAATTCATTACACTGGGTATGGAAAGATAGGAGAAGAGTGTTCTTCTCTTTACTCTGGGAGAAGGAACCAAGGTTCTTTTTCATAGAAGCCAAGGCATGAGTGACTTCACATACCCTGGGAGTTAGGATGCTGAGATTCTCATGGACATTCAGGTTAATTGGGCCAAGAGGTGCTTCAAGGTTAGCAATGAGGGAGAGTTGGCCCATTTGGGGAGAGGGGATAGCTTTTACTAACAGATGGGAAAAGCTTTATTGCCCACAGAGCTATAACTTACAAAGTAATAGTCAAAATCTAGTAAGCAGCAAACCCTGTGGTGTAGCACAAAGAAGCTAATAATAGTCAGTCTTGAGAGCACAGCCCAGACACCAACATCCCTGGAGTGTAAGGGAAACCCTTGCAGTGACTCATGGTGTCTAACTGAGCTGTTCCCACAGACTCCTTCTTGTGAGTCAACATACAAGGACTGACTGGATGCAAAGTCCCTGAACCCAGAGTGCCTTATGCAAACAGTTAACACTGTTCACAGGATATCGGGGAAATAGCAGGAGGTACTACAGGACAAGTAGAGTGCTGAAGATATCACGAGGTTTTTTTTGGAAAATGTCATGCTGGTTTTAAAATGTGCTAAGTCTGCATTAATGCTGGCTTGAGGTGGGTACAAAGCACCGTTGTCTAGGAAACCTTCACAAGGCCTCACCCTCCACTGACTAATGTCTGAAATCTTTTAACTGGAGGCTCCTTGGCTGTCCCCTCCCTGAAAGCTCAGCCTGTGTGTCTCTTATCAGTTATTGACCTGATAACATAAAGCCACAAAAACACCCAGCACTCTCCACCTCAGGGCCTTTGCATTCTCTTCCCTTTCCCTAGAAGGGTCAGCTCCAGACAGGTACAAGAATTATTCTTTAACTTGTTTTCTTTTCTATACTGTCACCGGTTGATGATATTTTTTTCATAGCACTCATGCAAAAGTTGCAGTATCAAGCCCAGAGTGCCCTACGCCCTCTGCCTGTTTTCTATTTATTTTTGGCACATCACAGTCTAAAAGACACTGCATTTTCTTATGTGTCATCTGTCACAGTTCACTAGAATGCAAACTTCATGAGGACAAGCATTTTCTCCTGCAAACTG